TTCTGTTGGTTGATGCATGAACTGACTTACTGTACTTACTGCAAAACTGATGTCTGGTTTTGTGTGAGCCAAGTAAATAAGTTTACCAACAAGTCTTTGGTATCTGCCTTTGTCAACCATTTTATTACTGATTCTGGATCCAAGTTTGATAACTGAGTACATAGAGGTGTCAGCAGACTTGCTTCCTAGCATCCCAGTCTCCTTTAGGAGATCCAGAATGTATTTTCATTGAGAAACTGAAATCTCCTTTTTTGATCTAGCTACTTCCATACCGAGGAAGTACTTTAGTGCTTCAAGATCTTTTATTTCAAATTCTTTGGACAGGAATTCTTTAAGTTCTCAAGGTGACCTCCTGTAAGAATGATATCATCAATATATACAATCAAAATAGCCTTTTTACCTGATATACAATGTTTGACAAACAATGTATGGTCGGATTGACATTGTTCATATCCTTTATGTTTTACAGCTCTTGTGAATCTGTCAAACCATGCTCTTGGAGATTGTTTTAGGCCATAGAGTGATTTCTTCAATTTATACACTTTCTGAGAGTTGTCAGTTAATTCGAACCCTGGCGATATATTCATATACACTTCTCTTCCAAATCGCCATTAAGGAATGCATTCTTTACATCTAATTGATACAGTGGTCAGTCAAGGTTAGATGCAAGTGAGAGGAGTACCCGAATAGTATTGTGCTTGGTAACTGGTGCAAACGTCTCCTGATAATCTATACCATATGATTGTGTATAGCCTTTGGCTACCAGGCGAGCCTTAAGCCTGTTCACACTCCCATCTGGATTATATTTTGTTGTAAAAACTCATTTGCATCCCACTTGACGCTTTCCTGGAGGAAGATCAGTTAGTTCTCATGTCTCATTCTTTTCAAGTGCCCTGATCTCATCTAGGACAGCTAACTTCCATTCTGGAATTTCCAAAACCTCATGTATTGTTCTGGATTCAGGTGAACTGTTGTCTATCCTGCACACAAAAGCATGATGTTTTGAGGATAATTTGTCCAATGAGACATAGTCCTGTATAGGATGTTTGGTGCATGTTCGAATGCCCTTCCTCAAAACAATAGGAATATCAGAATTAACAGAATTAAGAGTTAGTACAGAGATTACGTTACCTGGATCAATGGGGAATCCATGGCAATGCTTGAATGATTCGGGTGCTTTTCCTTTGTTTCTTCTTGTATAGACACGTAACTCACTCGTTGCACGTAATGTACTTTCTATAACAGGTTTTGGTTCTGATTTCTTTTGTGAGGTTTCGGGTTCAATCTCCAAGGAAGGTTTGTTTGGTGATGGATTTTGTGGGTAGAGAGGTGGTACACACACATCCCACAACTGATATTCCTGAGTGAATGTCTCCCCCTGAATATCAGTGGTGGAATAAAATGGTTGATTCTCAAAAAAGGTGACGTCCATGGTATTATAAAATCGGCAGGTTTCCGGAACTAGACATTTGTATCATTTTTTATTTGCTGAGTACAAAAAAAAAAATACACTTTATTGCTCTTGGGTCTAATTTTCCACGAAGATGTTTGTGAATGTGGACATATGCTAAACACCCAAATACTTTAAGTGGCAAAGTGTTTAAGATGTGAGAATCAAGAAAGATTTTTGAGAAGATAGTGTATGATGATTGAAACTGTAGAATACGGGAGGGCATCCGATTAATCAAATAAGTAGCTGTAAGGCCAGCCTCTCCCTAAAGATATTTTGGTACATGTGTGGTGAACATGAGAGATCTAGCAATCTCAGAATATGTCTGTTTTTTCTTTCGGCTATGCCGTTTTGCTGTGGAGTATGAACGCAGGAGGTTTAATGAATAATGTCATGTTCAGTAAAGTATTTTTCAAGAGTATTTTCAAAATATTCACAAGCATTGTCGGATTTCAATAATTTGATGGTAGTATGAAATTGGGTTCGAATCATTATATGAAATTTTTTAAATAGGGATCCCACTTCAGATTTTTCCTTCATGAGAAATACCCAAGTAATTCTTGTATGGTCATCAATAAAAGATACAAACCACCTAGTTCCGAAAACGTTGGAATCCTTGAAAGGGCCCCAAACATCACTGTGAATTAATGCAAATGGTTTAGATGGTTTATATGGTAGACTATATAATGAACTTCGAGTATGTTTAGAAAATTGGCAAACTTCACACTGTAATGAAACTGGATCTTTTCCTTTAAATAGTATTGGAAACATCCTTTTTAAGTACATGAAGTTTGGATCTCCTAGTCTATAGTGCCACAACATAATATCATGATCATTATTTTTTGAAATAGAAACAGAGTTTTCACATACTGTATTGTGAACTTGTATTTTAGAGGTGTTGACTTGAAGCAAATATAATCCCGAGTTCATCCTAGCACTGCCAATCGTCCTCCCTGAATCCAAATCCTGAAAATTACACATATTAGAAACAAATTTCGCAACACATTTCAAATCTTCACATAGCTTGCTGACAAACAACAAATTACAATCCAAATTCGGAACATGGAGAACTGAACAGAAAGTCAAATTTGGAGACAAATTTACAGAGCCTATTCCTGCAACTTTTGAGAGAGAACCATCTGCAATTCTGATTGCAATATTTTCTTCACATCTTCTGTAATTTTGGAACATTGAGAAATCGCCACTCATATGATCAGATGCTCCAGAGTTTACCACCCACACTTGTCCTTTTTCTAAAAGAGCAGATAAACTATGAATATTACCTTTGTGTGCCACAGAGGCACTGACCGAGTGAGATTTCTTGAACAAGATTTGTTGGAGGGCTTCCAACTATTCAGGGGTAAATGGCTCTTTTCCCATCTCATCAAAAATTACTTCCTCAGCCGTCACGTGATTTCCTCGAAGCTTGTTGGAGGTCTCTGCTTTCGACATGTTCCACTCACCCGAAGGTGATTTCCAGCCACTTGGCTTGCCGTGAAGCTTCCAGCAACGTTCCCGAGTGTGCCATAGCTTCCGACAGTGGTCGCACCAGGGCCTTGTCTTCTTCGTTCGACTGTCAATCGCTCGGGTTGTGAAAGCTGAAGAATTTTCAGTCTGGTGAGGTTGGTCATTCTCTCCCATCATGATCTTCCGACGACTCTCCTCGCGTCGAACCTCAGAAAAAACTTCTCGAATACTCGATAAGGGTTTGGTGCTCAGAACACGTCCCCGAATCACGTCGAGATTTTTGTTTAGCCCTAACAGGAATTTGAAGACTCGTTTTTCTTCCACAAAGACTTTGAAGTTTTTCGTCTTCTCGGGGCAATTCCAGTGACGCTCTTCAAACGCGTCCATCTGCTGCCAATTTCGACTAAGGATACTGTAATACTGGGTGACACTGAGTTCTCCTTGTCGAAGGTCATGAAAAGTTGACTCGATTTCGAATATTGCAGAGGTATTTTGCTTGCTGGAGTAGAGTTCTTGTGCTGCCTTCCAGATTTCATGAGCAGTTTCGTAGAGAATGAAATTCTCTCCGATTTCAGGAGTCACTGAGGTAATGCGCCAGGACATGACCATACTGTCTTCGATCTCCCAGGTTTGTGCATTTGCATCGGACGCTGGAGGAGGCGTGAGCTCGCCGATGAGGTGCCTATAACGCCCCCTTCCACGGATGAAGAGACGGACAGACGAAGACCATTGAAGAAAGTTGCTGCCATCGAGATTATGTCCTGTGATACAGGATGATGGTAGTTCACTCACAGCTCTGGTTGTTGCTGTGTGATGATAAGAGTCAGAGGAAACTTCTGGTGGAAAGGATGGAAGCTCACGCAAGGCCATTTTTTATTACGGCTCAGCAGGGTTTGATATCAATTTCTTTTTTAATCAGGTATGGCTCTGATACCATGAAGAAAATTGAGAGAAAATATTCTTCCTTTTTTTTATGAATGATTTCCACACATATATATACAAGTCTACTACCTTAATAACCTAACAAATTCTGGAGAGAAACCTAACAAAATTCTGTTTCTAAGAACAAATTTGTTGTAACAAATTTGTTGGTGATTTCCTCCATTTACAGCACATAACAGTTGTAAATAACTATTTTTAATTCTAATTTATTCTTCTAATTATTATATTTTCTACAAATTGGATAGATAAATGATTAACTTATAACTACTTTGAGAAATTTGCTTGAGTAACTAGGTTCACATGCAATTTAAACAAGAGTTTGAGAGCTACTTCAAAGCTATTGTTTATCCACACTCTCTACTTGCTCGGTTTAATCTTATTTCACTTAAGAACAGATTCCACAGTTTCAATTAATTCCGAAGTTATATATAAATTTACAAATAGTTTTTTTCCCGTGATCATTTGCATTGCAAATCTTCGAGGTGCAACTTCCATCAAAACAGTAATGTTCAATAAATTAGCAAATGCATATATCAAAATGTTAAGAAGTGATAGCTTCGGCAAATTACAGAAAAATTATACCTCAATGCTAATCATGTTCTCTCCCATTTGTACTATAAATCAACTATGAAGTCGGCAGAGTTGCATGAGAAATTCAAGAGAAAAATCATAAACCCTGATCCATCAACAATCAAAATAAAGAAAAAAAAAGGAAATAAAAAAAAATTCATCAACACAAAATGCCCGACAAGCATTCAATAGGAAACAACATCCCACGCATTCCAGGTCCAGCAAAGCACATCAAAAATAAATTTCAAATTTAAGCAGTCATACACAGAGTATCAAAGCTTAAGAAATCAGAGAAATACGGAGGCAAATAAGATACCATGCCCACTCCCGGAATTTCAAACAATTCGACAAACCCAGGTAACCAAACCATAAAGAGAAATTACTTTAACATAATTAGACAACAAAGACAGAGAAATCTTTCACCACTCGACAAATCCCATCACCTCGGATTAAATGAAACCCGAAGAAAGCACACCCAAAACTACGAATATAAGTACATCGAAAGCGAAAAGGGAAAGAAGGGCATACTTGCGGAGGGCGGGTGCCATCTTGTTGGTGAGCGTACCGGCGACGATCATGCAGTCCGACTGTCGAGGACTGGGGCGAAAGATGACGCCGAAGCGGTCCAGATCGTAGCGGGCGGCGCCGGTGTGCATCATTTCCACAGCGCAGCAAGCGAGACCAAAAGTCATGGGCCAGATGGACCCACGACGGGCCCAGTTCATCAGATCGTCAACCTTCGATATCACGTATTCCGCTGCCTTCGACAGCCCCTCCGGCGGACCCGAGGTTGCCGGCGGGCCTGGGCGCGAGTACGCCGTCGGCGAGGTAGGGGAGGCAGAAGACAGAGAAGGGACCGTAGTATGGAGAGAGAGGGCCCGCTGCGAAGAGAGAAGCAGAGAAAGACGCGTTGCTGTGTTTCTAGTAACGAGAGCCATGGTTCTCCTGGTTCGGATCGTCGAGGAGGAAGAAAGTAATTTTGTAGGAGAGGTTTAGAAATTGGCCTGCCCTCTCTCGATTCTCCTCCAACTTCAATGGAGGGTTTGTTGGACCTCTCGCTAGAAAAGGCCCAGCTCAGCAGCTACTTTTTTACTTAATTATTTCCCCAAATAATTTACTTAGAGCTTATTTACTATTTAAATTTTAAAATTTTTTAATTCAAATTATTTTAATAAATCTTTATCATTAATATTTTTTTTAAAAAAAATTATTTATTTAACTATGCTAATAATTATTTGTATTTTTTTATGTATAAATAATTATAGATTAAATAAAAATTTATAAAAAATAATTAAAAATATATATATATAATTATTTTAATTGTGCTTATATTTATTACTGCAATAATTAGGTTTAATATTTGAAACTCAACCCCTTTTCGTCAATGATTCATTTGAAAAATTCTTAATTCTCTATCTATTTATGAGATGTTTAGATTTTTTAAAATTTTATGGACATACATAAGGAAAATACTATTCCCACTCATACCAAAACATAACTTTGATTTGTTCAAATAATAACTAATGTAAAACAGGATTAAGAACAACGAATTTCTTTATGATAAACATATTCATTTTGCAAGTTTGTTATTACGGTTAGATCCTATAAAAGATCGGACTAATGACGTATACAATACTTAAATTCTTAATGTAAATGTTACATGGTTGGTTATTATATTTCAGATACTACGAGTGTAATAAGAGCATTTACTGAGAAAAAGATTATCTTAAGATGATCATCTCATGACTATTAAGAATGAATCATTTTAAAAAAATATTTAACATTAACATTATTTCAATACTTTTTAAACTAGTTTTAAATATCATTACTTATTTCAACAATATGTAAAAATATAACGTTAAAAAATAATATATTAGTAATGACAAAATTAATCACGTTAATAATATTTTTAAAATTTAATATTTGTATTGATATATTTTATAATACAATATTAAAAAAAATTTTAAAAATAAAAATTTATTTAAATAAAATTTAAAAATAAAAATTGAATTTGAACTTATAAATAGTATAGATGTCGATTTTATTTTATTTTTTAATAATTCAAATCTTTTTGATGTGTTATCCCAAATTACGAAAATTCACTTTAAATCAGGCACCAAATTGAATTAAAAACAAAAAGTAAAATAAAATATTTAAATAATAGTAAAAAAATGTATTAAAAATAAATTAATATATTCCGAGAAATAAAAAATGATGAATTCAAAAGAAAGTATCAGAAAAAACAGAAGGTGATATCTGGAACCCAGACAAGACCTCCGTCTGAATAATCCTTTCTCTTGACGAATCCTCAAGATCTGCAGTTCCCCGCCTCTCAAATCTCAACCTCTCTACTCAGAGGTGCTTCTTTTATCTTTACCTTTCCCTTTTGTTATATTGACACATTTATGTTTGTATATAGATTGATGGAGGCTAGTAATTTAAGCTGCACGTAGTATTATCTACGATTCTTACAGTTCTACCATTGATTACTGCAGATCTACAACTGATTACCCGATGTGATTTACTATTTCTATTATCTTACAATGTTTAATTTCGCAGATCCATTATGGATTTTATGAAGGTCTTTGATCAGACGGTCCGCGAAATGTAAGCCTTCACAAATTTTTTTCCCCCTTTTTTTCGTGTTTTTAATCCTAATCGACTTCGTTCTTTCTCATTTCTAATGTTTTATAATTTCCGATTCTAGAAAGAGGGAGGTGAATCTGAAGGTTTTGAAGGTTCCCGAGATCGAGCAGAAGGTAAAACCATTCATTTATATATATATATATATACATATATATATTTTTTAAAGATTTCCTTGTTCTCTTATAAACTTATTAGGACGTTTAATGCATATGAACAATTTGCATATTGTATCTTTGGCCTGGGTTCGGTAATTCTTTCATAGGTGTCTCAATTGGGGCTTGCATGTGGGGAGTCTGTTCCCTTATTTGTTTTGTCAGTTAGTATTTTTATTTGCATGTAATATAGTGCCTTTTGAATTCATAAGTTACTGTCTCCAATGCGAAGGACAGATTTATGCTAGAATATAGCATTAGTATGAAACTTGGTGCAGTTTCTTAGTATCAGCCCGTTGAACTCTTGCAACAAATTTCGCTATCTTATCTAGTTATCTATTGCCATGTTCACCTGTGTGTTAGGTTTCAAATTTCTAACAAAATTTAAGCATTCCTATAAAAAGTTACAAGGTCACTAATTTAAGTTTAATTTGATGAGAAATAGT